CCACACACTCTCGCTCCTACCGCCCCGCCCCACCCCTCCCGGCGCAGGCCCGTCACTCGCTGGGGAAGAAAACAGGCGGAGCCAGGGCAATTGACGTTGCCCAATCAGAGTAAAGCACTGGCGCCAGCGACGCTGCCCAATCAGAGCGAGGCATTGGCGCCAGCTTCCCTCTCTCCGCCCTTTTCCTTTTCTCCGCTCCTCTACGCCTTCTCTCCCGCCCACTGGGCGCCGCTGGCTAGCCAGGCCACAGAGTAAACCTCCGGCAGGGTAGAGTGACAACTCTCAATCGGAAGTTACTTTTGAAGCTAAGGCAGCCATAACTGATAATGGCAACGGGAGTCTTCCGGCCTCCCGTCTCCTGTGTGACGTAGTTTTCCCTTCGCCCAATCTCACCGTTGCCCTGGGCAACAGCTGAGCCGTCTGGGAAGAGATGCATCTGTAAGTAGGCCCAAAAAAGAGACCAAAGGTGACCAGACATCCCATGTTAGACAAATTAATTCATATTCTGGACTACCTGCCCGGGTTGGGGGAGAGGAGGGAGCAGGTTTCCTTGGCCCTTATTTTGCTGGGACGTCTGGTCACTTACCTAGATGGACAAGAGTTTAGGGCTCCGAAAATCCCTGTCCTGCCCGGAAGTTTCATTTGGCTCTTCTGAATGGGGTCATGGCGGAAGGGTGGGAATAGCCTGCGCCCCCGGCACCCCAGGGAGTGCCCATTCCGACAGGAGTCGCGAAGTGAGGTGAATATCTCTTGGCCCCGACCCGTGGGGCAAGCCCGGGCCGGACGGTCCCTGGGAGACGGAGCGCCGAGGAGGCGAGCGGGGCTCAGAACCGCTTCCGCTTGAAGAAGGTTTTCTTTCCGGGCTGGCCAGGCGGCGGCCCGCCCTCCCTCGGCTCCTCTGAGTCTCCCTGTGGGGCCAGGCTGCTCGACCGGCCCCCTTCGCCCAGCGGCAGCCAGCCTGCACAGGCGGGGCGCGGGCCGCGGGGCGGAGCCTCTGACTCCCGTAAGATGGAGCTCCTGGCCACGCCCCCGCAAGTTCCTATTATGTACTTTCCACCTTCTGACCTTTGCATGACGGAGAATTCGGGAGCTTGAGGAAATCATTTTCTGTTCCCAGCTGTAAAGGAAAACGATGGTCCCCCACCACCGCGGCAACACCTCTGAGTCTTATTTCACTGTCTCCTGTCTTCACATTCTGAATTTTCAACCTTTTTCTCTTTTCTTGGGGGTTTGTAAGCATTGACTGCAATTCTGGATAAGAGTATACTGTCCTAATCGTGTCTATGGTTAATTAAACAAGTTAATGCTTGTGAATATTCGTAAAAGTACTGTATTACTGTTATATGGCTCTTTACAAGAGTTGTCACAGATTATCTCATGTAGTTCCTTCTGTAGGCTTGAATCAAGAACTGTCAGTCATCTTGGTCTTACTGAGTTGGATGCCTAAAGCTGCAGGAAAAAGACCAGGTGAACTTCCAGGTAAATTGAAAATTGTTTATACCCAGCCGGTCAACAACACGGGTGCAAACCTACCTTCTTTACTTAATTTCTTTCTACTTCCTTAATACTCATGCTCCAGCCAAAATGGACTGCTCTTGTTTCTTCCAAGGTTAATGGCTGAAGCACCAACCTTTTGTGATTCTTTATTCATGTCCTAGTTATCCTTGGGGATGTGTTTCCAGATTCTCCCCAGCAAGAAGTCATTTCCTCTGAGCTTACCTAACACTTTTTATACCTCTTTTATGACAACCACTATTTTATATAACAGCTGCTTATATTCTTAGCTTCACTACTGTGTTTACACCTAAATAGAATGGTTTGTATCTGATTCATCTGCCTATCATTTTACCCTGCACATGATATTATTTGGTAAGTACTTACTGAAAGATTGAATATATTGGATGTCTCCTGGATGCCCAAGACACTGCCAGCGAAGTTTTATGGAACTTCAGTTTATCAGAAATTCAGCATAGTCTCTGCTACTCAGCCTGATGTCTTTCCAACATGATTTCTTCCCCCAATTTTTTATTAAAAAAATTCATGCATAAAAAAGTTGAAAGAATACAATGAACATTCATATACCCTTCACCTAGATCCAACAGTTGTTAACATTTTGCCTTATCTATTTCATCCCTTCTCATAAACTTTTTGTCATTGAACCATTTGGAAATAGGTTGCAGACACCTGTTGTTAAGTAGACACCCCTAAATTTCCAACTGGTTTTTCCTAAGAATTATAAAGTTCTCCTGCAAAACACGATATCATTATCACAACTAAGGAAATTAATAATTCTGTAATATTTAAAATCCAGTCTGTATGCACATTTTCACATTGACCCAAGCAAAAAATCAGGATCCAGTCAAGGTTTGTGTATTGTATTTGGGTACTGTAACTCCTTAGCCTTAATCTAGAACCTCCATCTTTTAGCCTCCATCTTTTTTTCCCTTTTGACATCGGCATTTTGAAAAGTTCAGGTCAGAGGTCTTTTTGAATGTCTCCTTTTTTCTTATTTCTTGTAAATCAAAAGTTGGACTAAAGCCTTGATTACATTCAATTTAACATTTTTTGTGAGAATACTTCACAGTATTCATACTTTTCCAATCATGATTAAGCCTCCTCAAATGCAACTACATCTACCCGTGCCATCAGTCGCTAGTTAAGTCCATTCCACTTATCACCATACACACTCTTCTATGGTGTCCTACAAAGAAGAGTTGAGCGTTTAATCTTCCTCTCTGTGTAGCGTCTGTGTTAGTGCCCTGGAGTGGAGCATAGACTGCTTACCCTTAATAAAGTGTTGCTGCTACTTTGCTTACACTTGGAGCTGATGTGATGTAATCTGCAGCAAAGTGTACTGATGTCAGCATAGTTTCATTTTGATGAAAGATGTGTGGGCCCTGCAATTCAAATACATATGAATCTTGATGTTATCAAAGCAGATACCAAGGCAACTGCTGGCCATCTGGCCACATTCCAATTTAGGCAATGTTATTTTTCTCCCTGAAATTCTCTTGCAAGCCCTAATTGGTCCTGGTGTTTTTGTGATAGCTTTTGGTAACATTCGTCAGAGCCTATTAAAAATTGCAAAATCAAGATTATACTTAACACTGAGTACATTAGGAACATTCTCTGCCCAATGGATAGAGAAATGTTTGTGGAATTTGCTTCATAATCACAAGGAAAACTCACAAGACTTCTAAGCTCGCGTACTCCTCCTATCCTAGACTTAGATTTGATCATGAAAAACAAGCAAAAGGAAGAAAACACACTTAAGGGAGCAGAAGAAAATGCTCTGGGGGGGCAAAAACTCTTAGATTGCTATAGAATGTGTTTAGCCATCATATTGAAAGTTAAGTAGTACACTCCATCAGTCACTTCTTCTGTGTAGAAGGAAATTTGCTCATGTGGGACTATGAAACAATTTTAAGTTGACTCCAGGTTCAAGTAAGGCAAAATAATGTACCAGTTAAGACCACAGATTTTAGAATCAGACCGGCGTTTCAGGAACACGGCCATTCACTAGCTAGTGACTTGCACAGTTTACTCACTCTCTCTGTTTATAATCTGTTCTCTCTATTTATAAAATAATCTATATTATAATCTAGTAAATGGAGCTATAAAACCTCTTAGAATTGTTGAACAGAATGAATCAAATATATATAAAGTTCTTTAGCTTGGTGTATAGTACATTGTATGTAGTCAGTGTATGGTAGTTATTAATAACTTCTCAAGCAGTCCAATTCAGGCACATAGTAGGCATTAAATATTTATTGAGTGAGTAAATGAATCTAAGACAGTGCTCCTCCAAGTTTAACGTGGGGAACTTAAATAAAAATTAGAGGGGGCTGGCCCAGTGGCATAGTGGTTAAGTTCACGCGCTCCACTTTGGCGACCCAGGGTTCACAGGTTCAGATCCCGGGCACAGACCTATGCACTGCTTATCAAGCCATGCTGTGAAGGTGTCCCACATATAAAGTAGAAGAAGATGGGCAGAGATGTTAGCCCAGGGCCAATCTTCCTCAGCAAAAAGAGGAGGGTTGGCAGCAGGTGTTGACTCAGGGCTAATCTTCCTCAACAACAACAACAACAACAAAATAGAGATTCTGACTCAGTGAGTCTGGGAGAGGCTCCAGAAAAATCTATATTTTTAATAATTGTCCAAGGGATTTTGATGCAGGTGACCTGAGGATCAGGCTTTGAGAAACACTGAGTAAAGTATCAAACAATTCTTTATTTCCCTTTCCCTCCCATACTGTTGAAATAGCTATATATCTCAGATGCTGAGAATGTAAAAAGTTCTTCACATAACTTTTTTAAAGGTTAATAGCTAACATTTTTAGGACCACTTTCTAGTACTGAATTTCAAAATAGCAAATATTATTAGAAAAAGGCATTTTGTATGAGTAGGATGTGTCATTTTTCTACTAACTTAATAGTATTGTCTGCTGCTGGGGTGTACCAGAACCAATGGCATCATCCAAGTTCCCAAGAAGAACAGTTCCTGGTCTTAGGCCTAGGCACATTTCAGAAGCTAGACGCCGCACATTTTATTTGCATGAGTCTGAATTAATTAGCCAAACTGAACATGTTGCAACATTTTTCTACCAGCAGATGCCAGATAACAAAACAAAATAGAATCTACTATAGTTTCCAACTACATGACATATGATGTTATTTGGCATCTCCAGCTGAACATTATCAATCCAAATTAAGCACCCTGCTAGCACGTGGGCAGCCATTTGAGGGAGAGTGAGCGTTATTACTTTGTGTCTGCCGAAAAACACTTTCTTTTTGGGCTCCCTCTTTCACATTTTTCTCATGTTATTTTACACTCAGAAATTTAATATCCATTTGAAAATTTATGTGTCAACCACAAATCTTAGCTAAGACAAAAGATAAAATTTTTCATTATTTTTCCTATCATTCCTACCACCCCCATCCACAACCTGCACTAGGCAGATTGAATTTACTTAAAAGGAACTAACAATAAATATTCACAAAAGAAAAAGGTCCTTTACTGTCCTTTACATAAACAGGATTGCTTCTGGTGCCTTCCTCAGTTCCCAGAGATTGTATTTTTGCTTCTTAATGCCCATTAACAATAAAATAGGACAGTTTGGCATATAATAGCGTATAATATTGCAGTGGCTCCATATTTTATTGAGTTGCAAAGTCAAGTGCCTGTAGTGGCTGGGCAGGTAAGGTGAAGGGAAACAATAGGCACTAGTGGGGCCTGGAGAACTCGCCATGCTCATTTTAATGGGGCATCACTTCCCAGCCCTAGCCAAATTTTGCCATGTGGGGATATGGGCCTGGTGTTGCCAGATTTGTCAAGAGGAGCTGAAATTTGGACTTGATGTGAAATCTCCTGACTCTTAAACATTGGTTCGAATACTTTTTAAACATTTAGCAAGCCAGCAAAACATTTAACTGAGTAGGACCAAGAGCTACAAGTTTATGACCTCTGTGTTTCTTACATGATAACGTGATTGGTACTTTGGTTGAGAATCTCAAAATACATTAGAAATGTTTTCTTTTCGCCATATTTCAGGTGCATTTACTTCTCTAGGTTAGGCAAGTCACTTGTCACCTACATCAGAAATTTAAGATAGATTCTTATGTATACCAGTCTTCTATTCCCTTGATTATAATTTTAAAGGTTTTTACTCTTTGCCACCAACTGAAAAACTTTTCCACATTTTCTCAACCTTGAATTATATCATTAAATAAGTTTGCTTTATTATCATATTTTTAAAAATATACTTAAGAACACAATTTGGCAGCACATGCTCTTTAAAAGTAAATAAGTAAAACAGATTTTTAAAGGAAAACACCTTTAAATATACCATGCTGTCTTATAAGTACCATGGTGTTGAGGTGATGAGGATTCAAAGGATTTTTAGTCAGAAGATACTTACTGGGAAATCTAGCACAAGTCCTTTATTATAGCGATATGAAAATTAGACCTGGAATAGTAAATGTTACACTATATTTCTGAGCACTTTTACATCCACTTTTCAGTTGAACCTTGCAACCTAGAACAGATACTAAACATATTTTTTATGAGAAAATCAAACCTCCAGTTGGTTAAGAAATGTATTCAAGGTCACACAGCTAGTTAGCAGTAGAGCAAGAGTACAACCCTGTAGCCCATTTAAAGTATAAACATGAAACAGATTGATCAGAAAAAAATGAAAAAAAAAACCCTCCAGTACAAGCTTGTTTTAAATCATACATTGGATTTTACTGTCACAGCTTGTTTAAAATACTTGGAACCCTGGGGTTGGCCCAGCGATGTAGTGGTTAAGTTCAGCATGCTCTGCTTCGGCAGCCCGGGTTCAGATCCTGGGCGTGAACCTATACCACTCATCAAGCCGTGCTGTGGTGGCATCCCACATGCAAAATAGAGGAAGATGGGCACAAATGCTAGCTCAGGGCCACTCTTCCTCAAGCAAAAAGAGGAAGATTGGCAACAGGTGTTAGCTCAGGGCCACTCCTCCTCACCAAAAAAAAAAAATACTTGGAACTTGAGAATACTCTGAAACATTCAAACTTTAAAAATGGGGTTTTGTACAATTAGGATAAGCTGATAAGTTTAGATAAATTAACGGAGGGGAAAAAAGAATTATGATAAAGAGCTAATGGCAGGTTAGGAGTATAGGCACATATTATGGATAACGACAGTGACCCACAGAATGTCTCCTTGGGACTCCTAACAAAGATCAAATATTAGACTGAGGAAACTTTAGTATGACCTAGGAAGACAGTTTTTTTAAAAACATCCAAATCCTGTCATTAGCATTTTTAGAAAACAAGACTTGGCTTTGGCATCCACAGTATGTTTTCATTTTGATATTTCTGATCTATGTGTACAGTATATGCTTTGAGTTACCAGGAATGGAATTTGGATTTTAGTAACCTATTCCCCTTCTCTGCCCCCTGACATGACTATAGCCGACATTTTCCAGATGGCTAGATGAAAATAGGGTACAATCTAAAGCTAACAGCTGTTCAGCTATTTAACCCAGGATCTTGGTCATTAATATGTTGTCATATAAGCTAACCTGTGAAAAAAATTTAAAACTTGTAAGCTTTTAAAGTGTTGCATAGTTTTTTTTTTTTTTGAGGAAGATTGGCCCTGAGCTAACATCTGTTGCCAATCTTCCTATTTTTTTTTTTTCTTTTTTCTCTCAAAGCCCCAGTACATAGTTGTATATCATAGTTATAGACTTGTAGCTCTTCTATGTGGGGTGCCACCTCAGCATGGCTTGATGAGTGGTGAGTAGGTCTGTGCCCAGGATCCGAACCGGTGAACCCCAGGCCACTGTATCAGAACGCACAAACTTAATCACTACGCCACCGGGCCGGCCCCATGTTGCATATTTCTAATTAAGCTTGAGATTTGAAAGTTACAGTAGCATCTCTTATAAAAATAATACTAATGCTATAAAAAATATCCACAGACAAAAAGCAGTATTTTTTCCTGCTAAGAGATGTATTTCTTTTAGGGTGGTATCAGACATGACACCTGGAATACTGAACCCTCAGGTTAAGAAGAGAGTGAGAGAAAGAAAAACCATATGTTGGTTAGAGCCATACATTGGTATGATTGTGACACAGTTCTCAAACTAAACAGAAAAAAATTCAGTGCTTCAGTCAGTATGCTGCACTTTATTTTTATCCTGAGATTTACTGTTTGACTCATATTTTCTGTTCATCCTCCTTTGCGAAGGTCATTAGTGGCTTCAAACCTGCCTATTTCAGAAGAAATTGAATATCATGTGTTACTTTAACCTTCATTTGCTGCTACACACCATAGTCTAATCTCCTCTTATCCCTCTAACATTTTCTTAGATGTTGGTGTTCCTTCAGTGGGACATACTAAATCCATTTGGGGTCTTCAGGCCATTCCTACAGGTGCCGCATAGAGAAAACTGAAGAGACCAGCCTTCCGAGTCAGGCAGACATGAGTTTAAATCTTGTTTCTCCACTTATCAGCTATGTGATGTTGGACAAAATAACTTTTCCTAGACCCGTTTTAGTCTGTTAAATTTAATAATACAGTCATGCATCATTTAACTATAAGGATACATTCTGAGAAATGTGTCATTAGGCAATTTCATTGTTGTGCAATCATAAAGTGTACTTACATAAACCTAAATGTCATAGCCTACTACACACCTAGGCTGTATGGTACTAACCTTATGGGACCACCGTCATATATGTGGTCCATCATTAACCAAAACATTGTTATGTGGTACATGGCTGTATATGTATGTATGTATTAGGGAATGCAGTGGGAAGTGGGTAAATTCAATTCTAAAGTCACCTCTTAGGGCAAATGTTGTTTGTTTTCAAAATTACTATAGAAAATCTCTTAAAATGTCTATATAGTTACAATACATGATTTTGTACTAAAACACTGTGCTGTTACTGTTATTCTTAAGCAAACTAAAATTTAAGAGCCAATACGCTAAAGGAAAAAAGCTCAAGTAGATTTCTGGGCATTGAAACTATTCTTCCTTTAAGATAACTTGTTAAGACAATATGGGTGTAAAGGGGATGGGTGGAAAATTCTGAAGTGTTCCTGCTTGCCTGTAGGTTTTTCTTCATTGTTTTAATATAAACAATAACTCTATGTCAATACACTTATTTTTTCTAAGAATCTAATTTTTTGACAACGTTGTAATGGTACAACACAGTAAGAATCACTGACATTCATTGAGCTCTTACCATGTGCTAGGGACTGGTCTAATGGCTTTATATGAATTATGTCATTTAATATACCCTCTAAAGTCAGTGCCATTATAAGCTTTATTTTACAGATGAAATTGAGGCTTAGAAAATTAAGGAATTTGTTTAAATGACTAATCTGACTGCAGATCCTTCTCTCAACCGCTACACTGTACTCATCTTTTTACCACCAACGCTACCACCATCTACCTTCTTTCCATCTCCCTCTTAGGTGATTATATCTACTTCTATAGCTTATACTACTGGACCATTGACTCTCTGGGCCTACAGTCCTTCTTACCTCCCTACTGGACTTCCACACTTAGTGGACCTGACCCTAATTCATGGTCTTTACCCTTCCCTCCTAACCTGTTCCTATGTTCCCAACTTGAATTAATACCTGCACCATCCATTCAAACATGTTAGCTTGAAATCTCAGTCATCCTTGATCATTTCCTTCTCACTCACTGGATGTGGAGGGCAAGGGGAGTGGTGGAGGAGGTTTGAATCTCAACTTCTTATATCCTTGAATACCTCTTGTATCTTCTCTTCTTAATGCCTATTATCACTTCTTTTGTTCATTCCCCCATCATTTTACCTAACAATTAAAACTTCCTTACTAATCTTGCCTCTAGTGTCTGTTTTTCCTTTTTGTCTAGAATATGTTTCCAAAAAACAAATCATGTATCACATACCTACTCAAAGCCATCCAATTAGCTCCCGCCTGTCTATAAGATATAAAGTCCAAACTCAGAGGCATGGCGTTCAAGGCTGTGTGAGCTGGCCTCTACCTAGTCAGTCCCACCACAGTTCATACGCTGTATGTACACTGTATTCTAGCCATTCCCCAGGATTTTTTTTTCTTGTTGCTTTCTTTTAGTATATTGTTCACTTTGTCTAGAACACTCTTCCCTTGCTACACAGCCGCTTCTCTGTGTAGTAAACCCCCATTCACCCTTCTGGGACTAGTTCCAATGTCACATTTAGTAATTCTTGAGAGACCAGCCACTGTCACCTATCCTGAGCCAAGTTATTCATGGTTTTTGTTTCTTAAGGCGCAGCAGATATGCTTTTATTAAAGTATGTCATATTCAATTGTAATTATTTACAATTATTTATGTGTCTCTCCCCCATTTCACCTCCCCTAAATTCCTTAAGGAGAGCAACTGGTTCTTACTCACTGTATCTCCCTATTTAGCTATTGCTGACACATTATAGACATTTAGTATGTTTGTTTAAAGAAAAAATCTGTTTAGATAGGTACATATTGTCTCAAATTCCTCTTCTTATGTTATTTATTTCCCATTCTGAAAGAATAATTCCCTTATCACCAAAAAGACCATCCTTTTCTACTCCAGTCTTTACTGTCCAGTGTTTACTTCCAAAGCTCTGTCCTTATTAACAGATATATAGTCATTAACTTTATTTTTTATATTCACTAATTATTTTATCAATGTGTAATTTATTTTGATCAGTTTTTCACTAATTGTAATAACTCAATCCAGAATATTTTAAAGTTTTTCACTTAAATTTATAAACATTTTCGTAGCAGAGAAGTATTGTAGGATAATCATTAAAATATGTTCAAGCATGAAAATATATTATATTAGAATAAAATTAAGTGGAGTGGAAAATAGAGGTCTAGGGAGAACAAGGATGTAAAATTTCTGACTTAAAAAAGAATTCTTCATTTTTTTTATTAATGGATATAGTAGCTATCAAATTGCTATGATATTTAGATTATATTGGATATATTTTTAAAAGACTGATGTAGTATTTTTAAATATGCTGGAAATTATATCCTTTATAACTGTCTAAACTTATAACAAATTTATGTATCAATTTAGAAATGCGTAAAGGGGTACCTAGTTTTTCTGCCTGGTTTTTTGAAATCTCTTTGGGGGTTATGCAAGCATAAAATTTGAGGACCACTGATATATATTCAGAAGGGTGCTTTAGTGCTCTTGTCCAGTCCCACACCCATAATTATTTGGTTATCAAACTAAATCACCCCAAAGATTTTTAACTTGTCCAAGTTGTATGATTAACTTATATTATCACATGTATATGACTGATTTAAAGTAATCCTTCTTAGACTTAAGTGTCTTCCACCTTCACTCCTACAGCTTAATAAAATATTTCATGACAAAGATTTGGTTTCCCTCTAAGTTCTTCTGCCTTAATTTTAGACATCCAGCTCAAATGGCTACAACAGGTTTGCTTACTTTGTCATGACTTTCAAATGCAGTATCCATCAAAACCATTATCTCTGGGAGAAATTACAAACTAAAGAAACTATGGAGGAAAAGGAAGCAGCAGATTATTTTCCAATTACCCAGACCAAGAACTTCAAAAAGTGATTGACACTGCACTCTCTAAGCATCAAAAGTTTGGGTTCTATTAGTCTAAGAATTTTATTTTACTTCTGTAATTTGAATGTTTTCTCTTAAAATATGCCTTGACAATCTATATTATTTTAAAATCTGGCATAGTATTCCATTGTATGACTGTTTCATAATTTATTCAACTCTTGCCATATTGCTGAACATTTAGATTCACCTATTACTAACATTTTGCTATTCGATGCAATGCTTTAATGAACATTCTTATTCTTATATCTTTATATACTCGTGCTTTGTTTCTTTAGAGCTCACTACCAGAAGTAGAACGATTGGGTCAAAGAAAATGTGCATATTTAGCTTTAGTTGATACTACAAAATATTCCGCTAGAAAAGCTGTGCCAACAAACCCACGCACCAACAGAGTGCCCATTTCCCTATACCTTCCTTAACTGTGGATACTATCAGGCTTTTGACTTTTTTTGCAATTTCAAGATATAACACACACAGCAAAATGAGACCACAATGATTCTTACTTTCTTAGTGAGGCCATAATGATTTTCCTTTTTAAATTGCAAAACCCACCTCCTCAGCACACCTAAATCCTCTTAAACTATTTTATTTTCTATAGCACTTACAACCTTCTAGCATTCTATTATTTTTCTCCCTCCTTACTCTAGACTGTAAGTTCCAAAAGGGCAAAGGTTTTGTTTTTGTCTGTTTTTTTCCACTAATGAACAGTGCCTGGTACATGGAAGACACATATTTATTGAATTGAATGATGTGGCACTTGTATGATACACATGAATTTCAGCCATAGCTGGTAAGTTTCTTCTTTGGCCCATCTGTCCCTGGTGTTACACACCTCTTACCTTACCAGTAAGAAAGTACCCTTAGGATCAGCTACAGCTCCTTAGGGCACATGACACCAAACAAAACACCCGTTTGGCTCTCAGCAGGCCACCTGAAATAAATGCTCCTTCCTACCCTGGACTCCCTGGGCAGTTGATTTTATCAAGACAATGTAGCCTTGCCCGTGTGGGCCATCCAACCACCACCTTGCTTATTTTAGCCCTTCCCTTCCTGTTTCTCTCCTGCCAATGCCTAGGGGGTCCTAGGAACAAGAACCAACCCTAGTAAAGCTGACACTCCACCTAGGCAAATGACAGCACATTGACCTACCCCACACCAGGCCCAACCCACTCCCTACCAGGCCTTTGGCCCCACACCCTTTCCAGTAACAATGGCGGCTTAGTCAAATGGAGAACTGAGGTTTGGTAGAGCACCAAGTTTCATTGTTTTCCTCAAGCCAGATTTTGGATGTGAAAGAGGTATAGACAAGAGATAGCAAAGGACAGTGATTGAATACTGAGTAGCTGGAGTTGCTACTCTATAAAACAGCTAAGATTTAAGATTTGTTCCCCACCATTTTAGCATTTTGGTGATTTAAAAACTCTTAGCTGCTATGTATTTCCTTCACATTTATCAACATCTATAATGTCTATCCTCCCTTTCAGTAGCACATCATGTCAGATTTGCACCAAATAAGGGCCTAATGAATATTTTCATTGTGATATCTTTAATGGAGAGGCTAAAGGTTATTATAGCTTTAGTCAGGCTAATTAGGGATCTGCAATGTTATTAGCCTTCAGCATAACCTGGAGAAAAAAAAGGAATGATCACTAGGTACCACCGGCAGGCCTAAGTAAAAAGAAGGAAAGAATGTGGCAGGAGCTGTGCACTCTAAAGAAATTGCATATTGCATTTGTCTCAGATTCCAGTTAATGATGAGTTGTTTTATTCCTGGTCCACTCCCTACTTCATCTTCACTCTCGGACAGAGCAGTGTAGGGGTAAATTTTGATGACAAAGTTCTAGAAAGCAGATAGAGCTTCCTCAGGAACTTAAGAAGTTCCAGAATAGGAATTTGACCGAGAGAGGGGAAAAAGCTTGGTGGATGAAGAATAGGAAGCTTTTATTAGGAATGTCAAAGTGGTAGTAGAGTAGGAATAACCAAGACCAGAAGCAGCTGCACTTGATTATAACTAATCTGCAGTGGGCAGTAAAGGCAGGCACCAAGCCAGCATCACTACTTTACAAATAATAAACCTTTCTTCTGTGGCGGTGATGTTGTGAAAGCCACGTGCTAAGGTTGCATCAGTATGGCGAACTACCACAAAATGGGAGGGACTGTCTGGAGAAGCATCTGTGTTTGGAAAAGGATCATGCTGCAAATTACAGTCCAGAACACCTTGAATATATAGCATAGCAACAGTAATCTGAGATGTAACGAACACTAGGAACAAATGCTATCAGCCAGAGAAAGCATACATGCTGAGATATTTATTCCTAACAAAGTATTCATATCAGGGTATTCACTGGCACTTGAGCATACAATCTCTGTATTAGAGGAGAATAGTGAACTGAAAGCATACCTCACTTCTGTTCTTCAAGAGCCAGTTTTACCTGTTTGTGTTGCTTCCTTACAGATTGCAGCTGTGTAGCCACTAACTGATCCTTAGGATGCTTTTTGTCATTATATCAAAGGGATTCAAGTAGAAACCAGCCATTAGCTACTGAAAAAGTGGAAATGTTAGGAAATGTTTACCTACCACCTCCTCCTTTCCGTAATTACCTAAGCCTTACCCCATCTCCCAAATGGTCATTTTTTTTACATCACCCACCATTCCCAGGAGATGCTATCAGTGACCCAAGATGGCTGCACATAAATGCCTTTGTTTTTCCTCAGCTGATATCTATTAGCTAATCTTGTCTAAAAAACTGAAGCCCTACCAGTTTTTCACTAGGAGGGAAAAAATTTAGAACACACAGCCTTCCAATTACCACCACCTTGACTAATGGAAGTTGACAAGATCTAGATGCTTATATGAACTATCTCAACTTTGTTTCTATGAAAAGACCCACAGGAAATAGGAAAATTATGCAAGGATAGGGGTAGTTCACTTTCTATAGGAATTGTGATTTTACTACTTCAACAATGGAAATGTCTCAAGCAATACTTTGGGAATTCATTCTTGAGTAATATTAATAATTGATTTCTCATTGAAGGAAAAAACTGTATCCAACAATTCAGATATGGCGGAAATGAAGTCAATGTTCCGGGAAGTTCTCCCAAAACAAGGTATCTAAATCACAAATACTTAGGTTATCGAATATTATAGGGACCTAAAAAGTAATAGGCAGTGTCACATAGCAGGCATAATAGCTAAACATTTGAAACTATTTTGTGTTCTATATGCCACATTTACTGTCCATTTTTACTGTGCTGCTCTCATGAATAGGTTGTAAAGGAGTAATCCATCCAAAGGATGACAAATGAAGCACTGTTTCTTAAATCTAGAAATCTTGTTTAACTCAAGACTGTAGATTACAATATGAAATTTTCAATGAAAAAATAGCACTGTAATTCACCATAATATTTAATAAGGTTTGAAAGTGGGGAAAAAGAAACTTAAATCAAGCAATAGTAAAAATAAAATAAAATAAAAGCTGAAGGTTTAAGTTAAACATTCAGTAATTTGAATTCATATTAAATTAATACCATACTTTACTACATAAGTATTTTTATGCAGTATGTATTTCTCCCAAATCTTTTTTCAAATTAAATATTTGACACAAAAAGTTGTCTCTCTCCTGATAGCTTAGAATCTTAGGTAGAAAATTCAAAACTTGTCTTCCTCATGAAGTCCGTAGTATTAAATGTTGCTTTTATATTTTTCTTATATTGAAGCAATGTTGCAAGGGTAACTAGGAGAACAAGAGATTTTCCTTGACAGCGGATTAAGTTTTTAGACCCTGATTCTAGCTGCAAATCCAAACCACCAAACAACTGAGTTATCTCACTCCAATTCTTGTTTCTTTTTAAACTTAGGGCAGTTGTCTGTGGAAGATATAACCACTATGGTGCTGTGTAAACCCAAACTTTTACCCTTAAAATCTCTGACTCTGGAAAAACTGGAGAAAATGCAGCAAGCAGCACAGGATACGATTCGCCAACAAGAAATGGCAGAAAAGGAACAACGGCAAATAACTCACTGAATGATAACTTCACTTGTACAGAACACCCTACCTTACTTACTGTTAACAACAGATAGAAAATAATCTGCATCTGTATGCTAAAATATGGGTTAATAAAACTGATAGTATTCATATAAATGAAGAAAATACCCAAGACTAATGAAACTTGTATTATGAATTTAACCACTCTGGTTCGTATTGAATATAAGCTATTAAAAAACTTGAAACCCAAATTTTATGGGTGTTTTTTTTCTTACCCAAGTTTTTAGAATTGCAAATTAAATTATTTTTAACCATTCCTACTACCATCAGTTTTATGGTTAACATTCTTAGGCACAAGTGACTAAATGCAACTTTTATATTCAGAGAATCTTTACATGTTTATTAAAAACTAAATTTGAAGATACATTCTAATCTTGCATAAAATGTTAATGCTGGGCTTTTACATTACCTAACTTGAGAACTTGTTTTTACAAATTGTGTGTCATGTCATGTTTAAGGCTATCTTGCCTGACCACCTGATCCTACCTGCAATGATAAAACCGTATTTCCTAAACAAATTTGATTAAGAAACCCTCACCTGTCCAGTCCCCTGAGCTTTTAATTTTACTGATTTTAAGGACTTAAGAATTACCTGGCTACTTTGTCATCTAGGTATCAAAACACAAAACTCTAAAAATGGAAAGTAATATGGACTAGATGGAGCCCATGAGGTAAATATGAATGTTCAATTTGGAGGTTTAGTTCTACAAGACTGCACCTAAACCTGTGATAGGTATATTCCTAAGAATACCTTTGTAAATTCTGAATATAATTCTTGGTTGGGTTTGCTGTAGTCAACAATAGACAATTTAAGTTAGCATAGACCTTGAGGCCTTGCTGAGTAATTAGGCTCTGCAAAAGAGGTTAGAAATGTGATGATTCTTTAGATAACTTATTTATTGGTAGCTACTATTTTCTGACAGTGGGTAAATGTAAAACTTTGAGTCTTTGAAGAATAATTTTTTAGAACACAAACATTAAGTAAAACTTAAGAATGATGAAAGTATATATATTTTAGAAATTTCATTAAGCACTAGATAAGATCAAAAAACAAGGAAGTAAGCATGCATTTCCCAAGTATAATATTAAAAGGATTTATTTACTATTGTACTTTGATTTAAAAGTTTGCAAGGAACAAGTTTAAATTCACTAGGTTCAAATATGCTCCCTTATGATTTAAAATTTGCTGTGTGAAATAAGTTTTTTACAAGACCTAAAATAAATGTACGCCCAATAAAGAATCAACACTGCTTCACATGTTTTATTTTGTCATACATTCTTTTAGAACTGGGTTCATTTTTCCAGTTTTGTAGAAAAATAGATGTTCCGGCCACCATTTACTTACTGTCTAGTCTTTAAGACCAATCAGTATGCTCCCTGGAAAGATGAATAAGTCTCATGGCTAACTCGTTTTCTTAAAATTCTTTAAGACAAAGAAATAACTTTTTTTTTTTTTTTTTAACTCCCAAAGCACAGTATTTCATCAGCAGCAGCCAACATGGGGTTTTAGCAGCTTAACTTGACCCCCTAAATAAAGCTTTGTATAAACCAGTGATTTTACTACAAAAACACTGTCCTTGAAAGAAAGGAGTGGCAGTCAGACATCAATGCAAAACTTGGAATGATTAGGTCATAAACATGGTACTTACAAAAGGTAGCTTATGAGAATATTCCACTTAAGAAGTGGTTACTTTTCTGTCCCTCCTTTATACCCTCAAAAAAAAGAAAAAAGAAAACACTTCCTTTAAAAATTCCCCCTAAACGTAAGTTTATAAAATTTCAAAAATGCCTTGTACCCAAAACGAGTGCTTTAAAAAAAAAAAAAAAAAAAAAAAACCTGTGCTAACAACTCTTACAATGCAGATATATATTTTTTATAACATCTAAGACTGCAAGAGTTCTTTTATTCAGTAGCTCTCCGGTTTAAGACGACCTCCATCTCCTTCACTTACAAAACGTTTTCTGCCCCTGTAATGAAAAGAACACAAACATGAAACAGATACAAATTCTGACTATAGTCAATTAAAAAAACTTAAAACTTGGTATTTTTCAGTTACTCATTAAGTTCTAAGGGGTTTCGTTGTTTAAAAAAGTTAGCGTGCCTGTAATTCTTTTGAAAAAGACTCTCCCTGCTATATATCCTAGGATATATCAAATGAACTGCTTATCTGAGCAGTTTTTAGTTAAATAAAAGCCTAATTATTGAAATAAATTCATTGTCCAAATGGAGTTATAAAAAAAAAAGTTAATATATAAATATGGCAAACATTATGCTATTTAGAAATTTAATATTTATTTCTACTGCATTGTTATTATTATTTGAAAGCTTAACAGTGAACCAAATAGGAAACACCAACATGATATGGAATTATGTAAACCAGGGCTATGGAACCTATCAAAACATTCATGTTTAAATTTTTTTTTTAATTTTTTCTCAGCTATAGAAAACCTATAACCTGAATGTAGAAATAGAAAAGCCATAACTTGAATGTGGAAAAACAAATCAGAATCCAATTAATTCCAGTTTATGCCCCATTTTGGGATTCTTGCTATTTCAAACTCAAGAAGCCTTGCTCTACAATGTAACCACACTCTAGCTACATGTAGCAGCAACAGCCCAGGAGGAACAGTTGACCAGCAGCCTAAAACAATAAATGGAAAACAAAGTTGGGCAGAATTAGCCCTTATTCTCTGACCCTAGACCAACATGCACAAGCATTCGAGACCACACAAATGTACACTTCACTCACATAAGCAAAAGGATAGACAAAAAGTCAAAGTTCTACGGTATACACAGAAAGTCTAGGTATCTCCTCAAATGATCCTTGAGAGTAAAGCCACAAAGGAGATAACCAGTTAGACTTTTGAACACAGGCTGAAAATTTTTTAAAAAGCCAGTGCCAAGATGTTGATGCCTATTCCTACTAAGTGGAAACCAGCTACATTTTCCTGAACATAAACGTTTCAGACTAAAATATTAGGAGACTGAGGAGGGGAAGAAAGCAGAAAGTAGCAAAAATCCTTGCCAAAGTTGAGTTTTTACTGATATATACGACTTGGCACATCAGTACATAAATGGTGCCAAGTAGAGATCTACATTTTCAAACATTTTTATCAAAGCCATTAAACTGTATCTTCCACCATTATCTTGTCCTTCTCTCTTAATGGCTTCTAAACTTTCTAGAGCAAAGGACACTACCAGGAAGAATTTTTCTGAGATTTAATTCTCACAATGTACCATATAAAAATATGCAAAGCTCCGGGGCCGGCCCACTCGCGTAAGCTGTTAAGTACGCGTGCTCCGCTGCGGCGGCCCAGGCTTTGCTGGTTCGGATCCCGGGCGTGCACCGACGCACTGCTTGTCAAGCCATGCTGTGGTGGCATCCCATATAAAGTGGAAGAAGATGGGCACGGATGTTAGCCTAGGGCCAGTCTTCCTCAGCAAAAAGAGGAGGATTGGCAGATGTTAGCTCAGGGCCGATCTTCCTCACAAAAAAAACATATATATATATGCAAAGCTTAGAAATTTTTTCAGATAAAAATTACAAAAACTTAAAATGTATGTAGAACAGACCCACACAAGAAGTTTAGCTATTACTAAACTTTTATACCTATTACATTATAAGCTTCATTATAAGCTTTATTTTAACAACAAAAAATTCATTAACTCCTAAAGAGACCTTGGTAGCACAAATATACTACCTCCAAAGAATCACACACATACCTTCTAGTGAGATAAGATCCAATTAGCCCCAACTGTCCATTCTATGAAGGAGCAAAAAGAAGCTACATAGAGGACAGGAATTAGCCTACATCTTTGAAGTCAGAAAAAGTCTGGATTCATCCTTGGCCTCTACCATGTGTGACCTTAGAAAAGCCTCAATTTTCTCATCTTATTGGTGATAATCTCTACTCTGAAATAATTATTTACACTACTTAAAACAGAGCCTGGTACACAGAACTGCTCCACAAAATTAGTTTCCTTCTAGTGAACTGGGGTTTCATGAGGTAGTCTTGTATAGATTTACAAGAGGGCAAAATAAGCTTCCCCCTTGTTTCTCCATAAACTCAAAACAGATGATTTTTGCTCTAGAGTGACTTCAAGGAAGATACTATTATTTTTCTGACAGACTGGAATGATAGAAAACGAACTTAAGCACCTCAACCAGTATTTTATGTTGAGAAAGTAATCAAGTACCTTGAAGGACAAAGATCTCTGAGTTGTTTGGAAATTATTCCAGCCTGAAAACATTCTTCTACAAATCGTTCAAGCACAGAGTATGAATGTGGGACATCCAGATTAATATCCGGAATTTCATTGTAAATTCTCTCATAACCCTAAAACAATGAAATTATACACAGAATTTTTAGCCCATATAAAATACATAATGCCATACAACCCATCACTGTCATCAAGTTATATTTAAGGCCAAATGTTCATATAATTAGACTGAAGTCAGATCTAAACCTTGAAAAGCACAGATAATAGGTACATTTATTACAGAATGTTTTCTTTAAAACTGTTCTCTCGAAAGAGCTTCAGGCAAACATGAGACATTGGACACATTTCTTCCCCATCTACTTCTCTATAAACATTTACTAAATTTTTAAAAGATAAAAGGCAAGTAAGAACCTCACCAACATTTTAATAGCAACACATACAGTTTTAAATAGGAATAAAGTACTTTAAAGTATAATTTGTTAAAAGTACATGTTTCTCTGTAGATGTAAAACAGAAATCATATCTTAGAACTCTGAGGAAGAACCCATAATCACATTTTTAAAAATACAGAAAAAAAACCAGTGACATGTTACTTTCCAAGAAATGGCTGCAAGAGGTTCAAACATAAACACTACCATTTAAAAAAATAAATAAATAAGCATAATACTACTAAGCATATCTAAAAGAAAACTTCACTGACAATTCATAATCTGTATTCAATCATTACATATTTAAGGTATAAGCCTAAAAACTGTTCATAATAATGTTATACTCACTCTTTTCATTTGGTCTAGAGTAATGGTAGAAGATTTCCAAAGGGATTTTAATAAATCCAAAATCATCTTAAATGTACTTTCTCCAGTTGACTCTAAAACCATTACAATGGCCTAAAAATTGAATGAATTTTGGGTCATTATTTCATATAAGAAACTGCTCCTAAAATGTATCAGATCTCTTTTCTCTAATATGTAACTATAATCACTATGAAAATTTAAAAATAATTTTCTCCCTTAACATTAAAATTTTTAAAAAGAAAAAAAAAAGTACATTATTAAAGAAGCATTAAGTCACTGTAGTGCAGAAAGACTTAATTCTCTTTGGAATGTCAGAGTAATCTTACTTCATATACAAGCTCATGGTGAAAATGAGGTACTTCCAGTTCCTTAAGGCAATGTTCAGCCTCAGATATGTCTCCAGAGAGTAAATACTCTTTCAGCAGCATATCAATCTATTAGATTTAAAAATTGAGATGTGTTAGAATTCCTGATTTTTAAAAAAACTGTGCTTTGCCTAAAGGATTTATTTACCCCAATCTCAATATATTACATGACGAAATAGCAGATCACAAACAGCTAAGAACATATAGACTTGACATGACACTATCATAACAGAATTTTTTCATAATTAAAAAGTAAATCCCAGATTTTTAAATTGTTCATAATTATGAAGAAAATGCAGTGCTTCGGTTTGTCTTAATCACTGAGATCTACAAGGAGACTTAAGATGTACACAGCCTGAGTTATGACCATCATGCTTCAATGCTCCTTGAAAAAACAAGGGATCTTTAACACCACTAGAGGGCACTACCTGGAAGTCTCAAAATGAATTTTTAAAGTGGCAAAAATTCTTTCACTTCCATCCGGACGTTAACTGTGCACTGGGAGCCAAAAAATGAGAGATGATGATAAGGCTTTACTAGACAGGGCAAAAATTTCCATGTAGTTTCTCTTTTCTCTATAACTGAGAATTTGAAACCCTTTATCTAGAACATTCAGTAACTCAGTTTCCAGTTATAGCTAGAGGCAAGTCTTGACTTTCCTGTTCAGATTTGTACTGTAACATCTATGGCTCCAGAGGAAAGGGGGGAAAGTTTTTCAGCACAAGAATTTCAACTAGGAATATTCTTCCCCATACAATGCCTGTTGAAATCACCTTTGCACCTAGTAGACGCTCAAAGACTGAATAAAATAATCTCATTTTATTATCTTCTACTTCCAACTCCTACAACGTATTTTCATAAAAGGTAAAGTAAAATTTGATCAACAGAATACATCCTGATGAATAATACCTATTATCATGCTTTAGCAAAGTAAATACTTAAAGCATGGCATTTGAATAAAGTGCTTTCACTTTAATACATTTACTA